ACAGTGGGAATGATTTCGGGAGAAGAAGTCTGAATGGTAAATGTCCAACGCAGCCAGTTTTTGTGAGGATTGTGTGAATGTGTGTGAGCGCTCCCCGGCCTGTGAGACCGACTTGTCATGTCTTGCATGGAGGTGTTTTTGGGACATTTTGGCATCGGTGTGTGCGTACGCACATGCGCCCGGTACTGTAAGGTGATTTGTATGTGTGTGTTGACGCGCGCCTCTCCTCTGCCCAGATGGCTGTGCTCGGAGGCTGGAGCTTCAGAGGTCTGTTTGCCAGCGGTGAATACTGATCAGAGATCACCGTCACATCGATAGTGCACACATGCACGCAGGAACTCGTCATCTATCTTGAAGCTTGCACACCTCCACTTTCCACATGGTTAAAGTACTAACTCCCACCGTCACTACATGTCAACTATGCTGATGCTTTCGGGCTCTGCAGGTCATGGCTGCAGCACCGATCGTTTGGTTTTCTGTCACGCCAGACCGTTGACACATGGCTGTAACAGGGCAGCTTTATGTTGCATTTATGGTCGTTAAATCGAAAAGTTTAAAAGGAAAAGATTACACTGCTGTGGACTTGGCTTGTGGGCTTAGGACAGGGGTGCCCAAAGTCGGTTCTAGAGGGCCGGCATCCTGCATGTTTTTGTTCTCTCCCTGGTAGTAACAACCTTTCAGCATGTCAATGTTCCTCTTAGGCCTTCTAATGAGCCATCATGTGATCCAGGTGCGGTAAACCAGGGACAGAACTAAAACATGCAGGATACCAGCCCTCCAGGACCGACTTTGGACACCCCTGGTTTAGGAATTAATACTTTGCCTTTTTTTGACTAGCCAGGCCATTTTCACTCCAGTCTTGACTCCAAAACGTATAAATAATCTTAACCTAAAAGGAATAACATATCTATACATGAAACAATGAAAAAAAAAAAAAAGATACTACCATTTAGTGTAAAATGCCATTACATTTTAGAAGGTCAGCCAGGTTTCCCTTAGTGTATTATCAGCCTGGTGGGCCACCAGGTTTTATTTGCCCCCCACCAGGCTGTAACTGTCACTGTTACAGCAGTAACAGTGACAGTAAAGACCAATTAGGCTAAGTTTATATTTGCCGTATTGAACTGGGCATGAGGGGGTGCGCACCAATACCAACTGCCTGTCGGCCTCAAGCTATTAATTCCAAATGACATTTTCTGCTTGTGTACCTCCAAATTTGTGTAACTTTTAAGATTCTTTAGCACAAAAACAGGGTGGGCCACTGGTGGTCTGCACTACAGCGCCCCCTTCCACCAGGTTTAGCAAGCTGTCTGGGGGAAAACCTGTGCCAGCATATGACAACTAGTAAACTAAGTGTAATCTCTCTTGATGAACTCCAAGATGAAGATGTCTTTATAAAAATTTATATCTTCGCCAGATTGTTTAAAATATTATTACACACACAGGATTGGATTCAGAAAAGTTTTCATCCACACAAATCCAGCTTGGAGCATTGCTCTAAACATGCCAGACCCATAGAGGGTAGTGCAGCGCAAAGCTAACCTTTCAGCCAATCAGATTTCTCCCAAAGAACCACAACTTCCTGTTAGAAATTAAACATGGCGCTAGGAGGTTTATTTATGTGGGCACATTTAAAGGTTGTAATACTTTTAAATTGCGTATTGGAATATAAAATTAACAAGACAATGTTGATTAGAAATTTTGTGTGAAAGCAAGTATGTGAATATATTGCCCCATTAATTGTCACAGACTGTAATGCACCGGATCCTAAATCTTTGCTTTCCCATGAACACATGCAAACACGAATACGGAGTTTTCTCAAATCTCGACTATGAGTTTTTCTAAATGATCATTTTTAGTGACATTAAACAGAGTTTTCGTGAGGACGAAAGGCTGAAACAGGTAGAAATGCATTTGATTTCCCAGATATCCAGCTACATGTGGACAAAGCCTCATAATTTGACGTAAGACAGGCAGGAGTTCTTGAACTAGACTGATGTGTCGACAGAGTTAAAAAATAAAGACAACTTGACAGGCTAGCTGGCAACGCTTTGATAAGTCTCCACCCCTCTTAAGTTCTTTATGCGTTTGCATTTTGGTACTTGGTAGAAAAAAGTAACAGTGAGAGTGATGGACAACATACCCACGATTTTGAAACTGCATAGAGAATACTGCAAATGGCTAACAATTACCTGCTAATGACTGTGGCAGCTTCAAAGCCTCTTACTGCCCACATTTCACTATTTTAATAAGAATGGACTGCATTTTCTCATATCAAGTAAAAAAAAAATATTTCAACTGGTGAAACCTGAAAAGGCACTGTAGGTTAATTGCACCTTTTTTTCTGTTAGGAAAACAGAGAAATATCACTTTTTAGATGCATTTTTTTATTTTGGAATAAAACTGCCTTAAATTGCATAGTTGCAGCAGTAGGGAGGTAGGTTGAGACTGAACTGGATAATTCTACACCGATTATCCTCTTGGAAACTTGTTTTGTGAAATTGTTTTTCTAATCATGAAAACAAAAAAAAAGCCTAATTTATTACAAAAAAAAAAAAACATCCTTTGTTTTCCCAAAAGCATTCCAAAAATCTTGTGCTAGATATTGTATCATCTCAAGAGCTGGATAAACTGTTGCATCTCCAGTTGTTACATAAAAACTGATAAATGTGAAAACGTTTCTTCAACATTCTTATGTGATTAAAATAATATTCAGACCTGAAAAATGATCCAAACATTTCTATTTCTCATCGACTCATGTGGAGTTTTTCCCAGTTATGCAAAGCAAAGTCATTTGAAGGTTACTTGTGTAAGTTAGTTATGGTCATAACCCAGAGAGAAAATCTTTAATAAAATTTGTAAGTAAATTTCTAAATAAATATTTACATCAATGCTGCTAGGCAGAAATGAAAGAGTTATATAAAATAGAAATGATTGCATAGTTCTCTAAGGCATTGTCTTAAGCAGGGGAAGTTTGTTGCTGGTTAATAGGAGCAAGAAAGCAAAACACACAGATGAAACTCTTCATCAGAGCAGTAGCGAAGCTGACTGCAGTGTCGCTACATGCAGAAGCCTTGTGGCAATTTTCAAATCCAGAAAGTGAAACTTACGTCTTCTGACCTTGCCACAAAAAAAAAAAAAAAAAATTCAAGTAGAAACCCGTTACATAGCGGGTGAATAATGCAACATGATTATCTGTTTGCAAAATATGTCTCCATTTGCATAAACCTCCGTCAGTTAAAGGTTTGCTTCATTTTCCAGGCCAGTGTGAGCTGTACCTTCAGTTGGACATCATGTTCCAGTGCCATGGATCCTGAGATTTTTGTCGCACAGAGCAGCTTTCCCTGCTTTATTCCAAAAATCCAGAGGGCAGTAAATTGGGAGATGAAAAAAAAAGAAAAAGAAAAGAAAACCTAATCTTTTGTAAATGTAATTGTTGAGTCACCAGCGGTGATCAATAATGCCATCAAATTCCTGCAGATACACGATTTCCTGTAAACAATATCAGCATTTTAAAACCAAGGTCAACTAAGACATAATAGAATCATCATTAAATGGGCATCTCGCAATCCTCCTGCTTCTGAACGGTGTTTTTGGAGCCTTCAACCTTTCCTGTGTGACAAGCCGTTTAGGAAACGGGACCAAATTGTTCTGCTGCAAGGATCCAACCTGTCACCTCCACCTAATCAGCTCGCAGGCAAATGTATGCAAATTACTCTTCAGAGGACAAGCCACGTCAGTGTCCATCACACCTCGACACCCCGACACTCTGATTTAGTTAGATCGCACAATGCATCTGCTGAAAACACACACCGAACACACACAAACACGCAACTGAAGTCCAACAAATACCTATAGTATATGTACACACACACACACACACACACACACCGGTGCTCATTCACAAGCAGACATAGTATTTTTGCTGTCACAGAATTCCAAGTAAGGTTCAAGTAAAACACACACACACGCACACACACAGAGAGAGAGGGAGAAAGAAAAACACCAGGAGTTGCAGTATTCTGTTCAGCCTTAGACAAAATGAAAGTGAGGAGGCAGCCGCATCACACCTCCAAATGGGCTTCGGGTTCTCTTAGGACTTTCATTGGGGGTTTGGGGGGGATTCGCTGCTCTCTTGTGGCTGTCAGCAACACTAATCTGTCTTCTCACACACACGCGCGCGCACGCACACACACAAACACACACAAACACACACACACACACACACACACACCAGTGTGAAGAAAAAAAAAAAAAAAAACAGGCAACGTTAAGGATCGACACGTTCTTAAGTCCTGTTTTTTCATGTAGGTAGACAGAAACATCCAGATAAGAGCAGATGCGCGTTTCTCCTTTGCATGTGAGCACAGACACACTGTTCCATGCACGCTGTTGGTCTTTCTCTACTTATCATGCAGGACCCCACCAATGCAACACATGCTCCCTCTGCATTCCGGCTGTGCACAGTCTCGACAGGTACACTCGCGTCGCTGGGAGGGTTTGCAATGCAACTGTTTCTCAAGGTTCAGTTCCTCAACTGCTGGAGAAAAAAAACGACACAGGAACCTCTGGTGCCGCATACCAGACATAAACAACAAGAGAATGCACACTTTTGCACACATGCGTGCACACACACAAATATGCTTTCACAGGAAAAAAAAAAAAAAAAAAACTCAATTTCTACAAGTAGAACACAGCTGCCACAGCTCTCTGTCTTCTCGAAAATGAAAAAGAATCAGTTTCCTGTCTGTGTCCGTTATATTGCCACATTCCTATGAGCACAAATTGATCAAACTCCCAATTTGCCAAGTATGTACAATGGAACGCATCCACGTAAACATCTGCCGTGCCTCAGAGTGGAAGTTGAAGTGGGCTGCATATGTTTTGCACAAGGGGGGTTCTCAGGTTTCATGAGGAAGGGAACCCCAAGGTTCTCCCAGTGATTGCTGTGTCGTGCACAGCGGAGAAGCAGCTCTCAGGAGCTTTTGATATATACTCACCGGAAGGCACAAAATGAAGAACTTTGTTGGTCTCCATGGCTGAGCAAATGGTGGCAAATGCACACTTCCAAACCCAACCGCCTCCCCAACCCCCAAAAATCAACCCATCATGGTTGTGTTATCCTGTGCTGATGAGACTAAGATCACCTCTGCTCTCCCTTGCTCTGCTCTGTTTCTGACTGCCTCTCAGACACATGCAGTGACTCAGCCCCACTCTGCCTGCCTACTCGCGCGCTTGCCACTGGGTCCTAGTGCCTTTTTTTTTTTTATTAGTCAGCTTCTTCACTCTACCGTCTTGTCGTTTAACATCGCGGCGAAGCTCAGGTGGAGAGACACCTCGTCGACATTTGAGGAAGATGTCACTTTGTAAGCCTGGCTCTCCTGTTTGCCTTTGTTGAGTTGCGACTGACTGAAGCAGGTGAAAATGAACGTGAGTGCACCTCCTTTGCATTCCTCTCGTCCACTAACTGTGGCTCTGTCAGAATCCTAAGCTACAATTTGAAAACAAAGATCATAATATTCAGGGTTTGTTCTCAAAACGCAAGCAGGCACACTTGATTTAAGATGTTTCTTGCCTTCATGTCTACATAACTAAGTGGCACAGAGATCCGATTTGTGCTGACACCTCTGCAAAAATTGCCAAAATATTCAGTCTTGCGTGATAACATCTAAAAAGAAGGGAGATCTGGGAACATGTGACTGTTTCTCTTGATCACTGGTTTCAGTGTCTAAAAATGGAATTTCAGGCAACTCTTATTTGGAAAATATTCATACACCTGGCAGATTGAGGTTTTAAGTAATCAATAAATTTACCAGATTATTCCTTCAGGCCAGTAGTAATACTAAGGTTTTGCAGGAGTTCAGCCAGAGAACCTACTAAAGCAGAGGGAGCAGAGGATTGAGGATCCCACAGACTTGATCTGAAGTGCCGAAATTGGCTCTCTTTGACAGACGTGTGACGAACATTGCATCATTTTGTTGGTAGAGAAGTTGCTGAACTCGACACCAGGCCCAGATTGAACTGTTTTAACAGAGATCTGTGTGAAGTGTTGTGTGATTGGTCAGACGTTTGCGTGTTTTATGCAGAAATGCGCTCAGACTGCAATGTTGATATTTCTCTTCAACTAGTCCGCTTTCTCCATCTGGTTTTTGTATTGATCTGGTGAACATTTATGTGATACAGTGAGGGATTGTGTACTTTTGTACTGGTCTTTACAAAATAACTACTGTAATAATAAGACGTGAAATGGCTAAAAACTTCTGCATGGAAATTGTAATTATGTTGTCCATTGAGGCAACTGCAGAAAAAGTGTGGTGCTTTCTCTGCGACTGTTTTGTAACTAAAAGAGAGGGAAGGAGGGAGGGGGAACCCTGGCGTATCAGAGCGTGATGCATACTGAAGAGAGAGGGGTGCCTCCCTGGTGGTTTGTGAAGTTGTACGAAAGCTGTGTGCAAAAACCAAAGGTGTATAACCACGTGACCACTCATTAACTGTTTAGTTTTGAGTTAAATATGTGGGAGCCTTTAGAGCAGGGATGCTCAAAGTCGGTCCTGGAGGGCCGTCATCCTGCGTGTTTTAGTTCTCCCTGGTTTAACGCACCTGGATCAAATGATGGCTCATTAGAGGCCTAAGGAGAATACTGAAATGGTTGTTACTACAACCAGGGAGAGACCTAAACCATGCAGGATGAGGGCCCTGGAGGACCGACTTTGGGCACCCCTGCTTTAGAGTGATGAAGAAGGGCTTCCAACCCTAATCACCTGCAAAAAGTAGGTGAGTAATTATAAAAACAGTTTGGTGTCTGCAATGCCAATGCATGGAGATATCCAATGATTTTATGAAAAAACAAACGCCCGTGAAACAAACCCGTTATAGCCGCACGAGGTATAAATAAAAAGTTTAGAGCATTTCCATCCAAACTACTAAAATAAACTACCTAAAAATGTAAATCTTTTTCACAATTTTTTTTCAGCCCTCTCCTACAGCTGAGCAAAGGGGCCCAGTGGCTAATTTTCAGACCTTTGGAGCGGTAGCTAAGATTAGTGCATCACATTTACCACCTGTTTTTACAGACAAGGCTTACAGAACAGACAAAGCTTATTTATTGTAAGTGTGAGGAATCTGCCTGTATTGAATTCAGGCGCTACACGGTTCTCAAAGTTAAATGGTGAGAAGCAGTGGACAACTCCAGGCACTGTCCATGGTGCTAGTTCAACCCCCAGGTCATATGCAGTGGATAGAGCTGCAGGAGGACATTTCAGTCACAACAGCAGCCATCTTAAGCGTATATCATCAGACACAAACTGTTCGTACAAACAGTTTGTTGGATTTATTGGTTGTGAATATGACCAAATGTACGCATATGTGTTTTCAAGAGTTTAAATGTCAAAGCAACTGTTAACAGATCAATCCAGGTCTTCATCTTGTACGTTTGTGGTGAAGTTCTGTGTACGTGCGACAGCATTAAGTGTTGGTGTATAAGTTCTGGTGTGAAATGTACCATGATCGGTGAGCACCATGATTTATGAGAGGTTGTTTTTTGTAACTGGATAAAGAAATGTAAGGTCTGAGCGCGTCCCTGCTTTGTTAGATATCAGAAGACATCCAACAATATAAGAGAAATTACATATTTTTACACTTGAGAGATTATACTAAATAATTGTTCAGTAGCTGTTTCCATTGATCAAATAATTTCTCTGTTTAACATTAAGAAAATAAAAATTTAAAAAAACTTGCTTTTTAAGAAAATGCTTTGGTGCTGGCATGAAGTGTTTTTTTGGCTGTATTAAAATTGGTTTATTTCGCAAACCTGCGATGGTTTACACATCACAAGTCACATGAACAACAACCAGTTGTTGCCACTGCTGCAAACTACGAAGAAGAAAATGACAGGAAGTAGTTGGAGGATAATGGCGCAGCGTGTTTTTTAATGACATATTGGGTGAACAAATTTATCTATATGATTTTAATTACATTCTTATTTAATGGAAACATCAAAATTGCAAAATTGTATTTTTTCAACATTAGTGGAATATTGACAGTTTTGCACACATTTGTAATGGAAACACAACCAATATGTGCATTTCTATAACAAGGAGACTAATCTTTGTGACTAAACTGCCTAACTTCTGAATGCAAATAGACCTAAAATTCCTCTGTTTGATTTCAGCTTTTCCATCAGGATTAGCTTCATGAAACTGATGGTATTAATTTTTGTGACCAATTTAATTGAAACAGTACAGGTTTAATTTCCCAGTTGAAGTATAAAATTGCTGGTCCTAACTGATTAGCTGAATTTTAGTTCCCATTTAGTTCAGATGATGGAGAACTATACCTCGTTTATAATAACTATGCAGATGACAGAAGAATCATTGAAATTATGTTACATGTCTTGCAGACTGTTTTTCTCCTGCCCTTTTTTTCCCTGTTTCCTGGATTTTGAAATTTTAAGCTCTGAATGGATAGAGAATTTGAAAAGACCGAATAAGATTCAGGTCTACCCAATGAAAAAGCCTCACCTGTGGCTCTGGGCTGTCCTTCTGCTCCTAGCTGATGAATGCTGAGCACAGCAGTGCTGCTGCTCTGGAGCTTTGTCTTTTGTTTAAAAGTTTGTTGTGGGAGTTTGAGGAGTAGGTACGTTTTTCACACGGAGGTTTGTTTCTGTTAGGCGCGCTAGATAAGTAGGCTGGTGCCACAGATGTAATGTTTTTAGTCAACCTTTTTGTTAGCCGAGGATATCAGGGCTTTTTCTTTGTTTTTCCATTTAGAATAGATGTGAGATAAGCCATGTTTCATTTCTTTGATTTGGCACAATCCAACAATCCCTTTCTCCCCCACAGTTTGTGAAACCATTTGAGACTCTTTTTTTCCAGTACAAGATACCGAGCCACAATACGTTAGCGAAAAAAGGAGAGAAAAAAGAAAAGGCTGTGCTGTGGATATATGAGTGAACATGTGTGACTGAGGGTTTTTTTTTTCTTCACTTTTACAAGAACTCAGTCAGTTCGTTGTGGTTGTTGTGTAACTCTCTCTCTGTCCAATCACTGGTCTTAATGTTATACATTGAAGGATAATAGAAATATAGCATTCAGTGACGTGGGGTTGCAGTGAGTCGGCATTGTGGCTTTTAAATCTGGTCAGAACCAGAGAATCTGCCCTCTCTGGGTGACAAACAGAGACAGGGAGTGTTGCCAGGGAAATAAACATGGACCAATCAGCAAAACTCTCCAATAGCAATCGTTTGCTACAAGCTACCCAAGGAATTTCGGTGAAGAGAATAACTTCATCCAAGAAGTTTTTAAGACTTTGATGTTGAATTTTCCACTTTTTCTGATTTCTTTCCTATAAAAGAACACAAAATGATATTCAACTTTATAACTTTGTGTCACCACTTGACCGTACTCCACCGTTATTAACAAGTCATTATGTACAAGATATCCACAAGACAATGGGTCTGAATCAGAAGGAGGGGAAGCAGTTATTTTTAAAAATTCACTTTTTCTCTTTTTTTGGATAAGCAATGTCACACACCATGAGTGCAAATACAACACTCATTGAACTAGAGGCTAATTCAAGTTTCCTCACCTAACCCATTAAACTCAGCTCAGGTGTAATGATAAATACACTCTACTGAGACATCAAACAGCATATTGCAGGCCATGATTTTCACAAATATCAATAAGAGCAAATGATCAAATAAACTTGAGAAAAACAAGCCTGCAGTGTTGCTTACCAACCTGCCTGAAGGGCCAAAATGAGGTCTGGAGATTGAAGTTACATTTGTTTCTCTCACAAAACATAAAGAACAAAAAGTCATGTCTCATTATTGCGGTGGCCTACGGGGGATCTTCAGGTGATTTCAGTGAGTTATAAATTTAGCTGGAAAGAAAAGGAGATTACCAGAAAAGAAGTAAAACCTGAAAACAAACTAGGGTGCCCTCATTTCTCTGAAGACTTCTAAAAGGTTTTATATTTTTATTTTTATTTTTTTGCTCAGGTTTTATGTCATTAGTGAAATGCAGTCGGTTAGACTGGCCTACAGCCTACAGACGTTAAACCATTTCTCTGACATGTTGCACACACTGTGCTGTTTGGTTAAAGTATTATGGACATTAACTATTTCAGTACATGCAATTAAAACATCAAAAACTATTACCTCTGTGTGTTTTGCCCTGT